CCCCAGCCCCTCGCGCTCGCGCGCTGGCTCCCCATCGGCTGTGCCCCGGACGGTCTAGAGGCGAACGGAGACCGCTGATTGGCCGACGGCGCCCTTCGCCCCACGTGAGGGGATGATTGCCGCATGCTCTGCCGACGGCGCGCGAGCAGGGGGGCCTATCTCCCGTCCCCATTTTCCCTCTCCTTTCTCCCAAAACGTCCTTCTCTCCGGCGGACAGCAGACCCCCGCCACACTCCGCAGGTCGCCGCCTGCCCGGAGGTTTGTCCTGGTGGGCAGAGGGGGCTGAAGTCGATCCCTACTCCGCGAGGTGCAGCAGTGCTCCTGGCGCTCCGACTGGCGCAGAGATTGTGGCGTTAGTTCTGCCTCACAGGCCAACAAATCCCACAGAAAGAAATCTAGCCAGAGTCCTCATTTATTTTAATGTAGTTCTAGTCAAGATTAGGGAGGCAGGTACTATAATCAAATGGTCTTTTTTTTTCCCTACTGAGACTATTTTTTTACCTTGGGCATAGCTTAACAGCCCTATTTCCTTTGAAATAACAGCATATTTCCTTTGATCATCTTTTCTTTGGAGCCGCCAGCCTGAGTCTCCTGGGCTTGTCATCGCTGCTTTTTGTCCCTATTCTGTTCCTTTCCTTTTTCTGGAAGAGATAGAGGGAAAATAGTATGGTGCTGGGAAGTCTTGAAGCAACACTTAAGCTGAATGCAATCCTGTATTTAGTTTGGAAAACAAAAAAAGATGAGGGGATACACATATTTGCTTGTGAAGTTTTTCCTTTTTATCTTTGGAGTTTTCTTTTCATGAATAACCTACCAAAAATAAGGTTTCTTTATGTTCTACTTTAATGTAGTAATATCAAAATGTATCATTATAAAATTGTATTGGATGATTTGAAAATAATTATCATCTTATACATCTTTCTCTGAGTAGCTTTTCTGCAGAAGTTATGGAGGTGACTTTAAATGATGGTGGTTTTCAGTACAAATGCAGATTATGTCTCAAAAGTGTCCCTTTTTGGACCCGCCCCTCAGTGTATGCAGGATGGAAAGCAAGGCTGTGCTGCCTTACAGCGTGACCTCACCAGGCTGGAGAGTTGGGCAGAAAGAAACCTTATGAAGTTCAACAAGGGTAAGTGTAGGGTACTGCACCTGGGGAGGAATAACCCCATGCACCAGTACAGGTTGGGGGCTGACCTCCTGGAGAGCAGCTCTGTGGAGAGGGACCTGGGAGTCCTGGTGGACAACAGGATGACCATGAGCCAGCAATGTGCCCTGGCGGCCAAGAAGGCGAATGGCATCCTGGGGTGCATCAAGAAGAGTGTGGCCAGCAGGTCGAGGGAGGTCATCCTCCCCCTCTACTCTGCCCTGGTGAGACCGCATCTGGAGTACTGTGTCCAGTTCTGGGCTCCCCAGTTCAAGAAAGACAGGGAACTGCTGGAGAGGCTCCAGCAAAGGGCAATGAAGATGATTAGGGGACTGGAGCACCTTTCTTATGAGGAAAGGCTGAGGGACTTGGGTCTCTTTAGTCTAGAGAAAAGAAGATTGAGGGGGGATCTTATTAATACATACAAATACTTAATGGGAGGATGCCAGGGGGATGGGAGCAGTCTTTTTTCAGTGGCGCCCAGTGATAGGACGAGGGGTAATGGGCATAAACTTGAACATAGGAAGTTCCATCTTAACATGAGAAGGAACTTCTTTACTTTGAGGGTAGTGGAGCACTGGAACAGGCTGCCCAGAGAGGTGGTGGAGTCTCCCACTCTGGAGACATTCAAAACCCGCCTGGACCCTGTCCTGTGTAACGTGCTGTAGGTGACCCTGCTCTGGCAGGAGGGGTGGACTAGATGATCTCCAGAGGGCCCTTCCAACCCTAACAATTCTGTGAATTCTGTAAGCTTTGAAGGAACAATACCTTTAGTTTTGTTTAGACAACATTGTCTTAATGTAATAGAAGTATCCCAAGGCAATATGTATGTTTCTGAATGTGATAGGGCCTTTAAAGGCATTGTTCCTGTTTTCCTTCTGCAACTTACATCTGATAGAGATGTGCTTAGTGTGCATTTACATCTGAATTGTACATGTGCTTGTTTGTCTGTTTGAATCCTGAAAAGCAATGGAGTAGTAAAGGTTGACAGACTTGATATTAGAATAAAATGTTATGTCCTTATTATACTGGGTCTCTAAACCCATTGAGGGTCTTTAGATATTTTGGCTAAGATTTTTTTTTCTGTTTTCCTTATTCCCTGCTCCTTTCCCGTCCATTTCCTCTTGCAAGTCCTTTCACATTTTTAAAAAACTTCTATTTATACATTTTCATTCTCTTACTATTTTATCTGTAAATTACTCCTATATTGGTGTAAACCAGTCATTCAGAATCGTATTGTTTACTCTCCTGCAGTAAAATGGAACTTTGGGTACAGGCCAAGATGGGATAGGGACTGAAACTGGAGAGGGCAAAAATGGCCATGACATTATTTTTAGCACACCATCATCCTTGGGACATCATTATTTCCAGTAACTTCCTAGCTAGTGACAACACTTACGAGTATATCATTTGTAACTTCTCATCAATATGTCTAATACATTTTAACATAACGGTAGGCAATACACTGCTTGGGCCCTTCCTCCTTATCAAAACTATTAAGTATAATTTGGATGCTAAGTGTCTTGTTTGGAGAAACATAGAATTACTCACAAATAGAGTATGCCGTGATTGGCAGAGAGATTTCAAGTATTATTATAATTCGCTAGTAAATACTAAAAATACTTAAAATTGTTCCTGTTCAAATGTGTAGCAATCTTAAATATCAAAGTTCTATGTGAAAGGAAGAGAGTGGGGAACTGTGCAAGTTGTAGCATTTCTGACTGCAAGACATTCTCTGTTTTCATGGAACTGTGGATGTTGGAAGCTCAGTCTTAGACTCCACTTCCCAGGTCTCCCAGCTTGCCCACGAGTGGATTCCCTTCACTCTGCCACATGCCTTGCTGGAGACTTAGGAAGCAAATGGAAACCAGTCCAGTTTGCAGAAGAGCTTCTGTTGGAAAATGACTGTAAATGAACTCTCTTTGTCACTTTCGATTTTGATGAATGTGCAAGTTCTTATGGGAGAATGTTCTTTTTTTTTTTTTCCACAAAAAAAGTCCACTAGTTTCCTAGAATCTTGTCTTATTACAGTTTTCCTTGTAAGTATATAGCTTTAATTGTAAAAGCTATAATAGAAGTTTTATAACAGTATTTGTGACCTGCAAATTTGCACTGACCGAAACAGGTACACGGAGATTTTAAACTCCACCTTGAACCACCAAATCTGTGAAAATGTGCCAGTAATTTAATGAAAAACAGTCTTACCTAGAAAACTACACTTCCGCGTGAAAGATCTCTGTAGACTAAAGATAAAATTGGCTTCTAAAAGATGGAATAAGTCAGTCAAAACTCTTTAGAACTGTGGCAATACTTGTGTAAATCTAAAGAGAAGCTACGTATTCACATAGAAGAAAATTCTGTCAGAAATCAATCTAACAATCTGGGCTTTCTTTTATTGTCTTTGCCTCTGACAAAGTTAGTCTGGCAAATCTATTATAAACCCATGAATTTATACATCAGATACATTAGATTTTAATGCTGGGACATTTGCCCTGATGATAATCCTAATACAGAATTTGTTGGTGAAGTTTAAGGGTAAGTAATTGAAAAGCAGGGATTTGGTTTCTTTTTGTAGTTGTTTGTTGGTTTTTGTCCAGTCTTTTTTTAAAAAAAAATTAATCTGCATCTTTAGATAAAGCTGTGTAATTTTCTTTTATCTATTTATCTAGCATCCAGGTTTATCCAACAAGATTGCTGCACAAATCTCTTTTTGACAAAACATTTTTTTCAATGGATAGCAGTGATTGCCTCAGTGACTTCGTCGAAGTACTTATTTTCAATTATTTAATAGAATGCAATTGTGCCCTGGAAGGTGGGTGAAAGTATTCAGTTTTTAGCAAAGGAAGCTTTTAAGACTCATCCTCTTTTTTTTTTTTTTTTTTTGAACAGTAGGCCAATGAAGAAGAAAAATTCTATTTTCCTCATCTATTGTTGATTGCAGCAACTACCTATTTGACTGAAACTACAGGTCATGCGGTTACAATTTTGGGGAGAAGCTGTACAACTCCAGAGTGGTTTCACTTAAGTGACATGAAAATATTTTTCAAAAGGCTCTATCCTGCAAGGATATAAATGCTTTTAATTGTCACCAACCGCAACAAGGGTTGATGAGTTCACATAGATGCTTCAGCAATTCTCAGCAACCTACCATTCCTGCATACAGCACTGTACCATACAGTTTTATCTTGTTTAGCATATTAGAGGTGCTGCTTTATCTTATTACAAGATAAACTTTCAAAAATCACATTTGGACAATCTCATGCCTTGCCCTTTGTGTCCTCTTTCATTTTCTTGGTGTCTCTACAAACTCGTCAACATTTTCTTGTCTATAACTCACGGTTAATTGCACGTATTCTCTGCCACTATAAATAGTTTATTCCAGCACTACCGCTCGTCGGGTGAGGTGTACTGGTGGGCAGGGCCCGCCGGAAGGCGGGGGG